ACCTTGCGCCCGGGCGCAGGCGCAGAGGGCGCTGCACGACCCTAGCACCCCCACACCTGAGAGTGGAGGTCGCTTCTGCGCTTGCGCATAGAGTGCTGTTGACAGGAGCCCCGCCCCACAACGCCTGGTGTTTTGCTTCACATTAGCCAGTGCGCAGGAGCCTACTGAGGTCCCACCTCCCCTTGTCCGTGGTTTGGTTGTTTGGATAGTTTACTTCCGGATTCACCCTAGTTAGTGCTAAAGTGTTGACCTATTCCAGCTAGAGGAGTGGGCGGGGAAAGGAAGCTGCTGCGCGATGACGTCAAGGCCCCCCCACAGCCTGCTGCTAGTTGCCTTGTGCCTCAGCTTATAGGTGATGTCATCTATTTCAGATGTTGTGGCCCTCTTCAAATGAATCCACTGAACAGAAAAATAACCCTTTTCTCGAATCTTTTAAAAAAATAGTTTACACATTGTGAAAATCAATGGAGCCATACATTTTAAATGTTTGTGATTTTGTTCACATATTATACTTAATTTACCAAAAAAGGCAGTTTTATGCTCTCTAGAGATCCTAGCTTTTTATTTATTTATTTTTTAAATTCTTATTTTTTAAATATATTTTATTGATTTTTACAGAGAGGAAGGGAGAGGGATAGAGAGGTAGAAACATCGATGAGAGAGAAACATCGATCAGCTACCTCCTGCATACTCCCCACCGGGGATGTGCCCGCAACCAAGGTACATACCCTTGGCCGGAACCGAACCTGGGACCCTTGAGTCCACAGGCCGATGCTCCATCCACTGAGCCAAACCAGTCCAGGCGATCATAGCGTTTTAAAGTTTACCTTCATTTTATTTAATCTTTGAGGACAACATGTTGAGGTTGGTCCTTTTATTAAATGGTGTGTCCACTAAATATTGGCTGAATGATTGAATATATCTTAGATTCCTCTGAGAATCTCTATGTATGGAAAAATGCAAAAAGACATTCTCCTTACTTTACTGCACAATATCCATATGGTTTGGACAAAATACAGACTGCTCTTGCAAATGTAATTTTTTTTTTTGGTATTTTGTATTTTTTTTCTTTTTCTTCAAATGTAATTTCTAACAAAGGAGTCCTGTAAGATACCTGGACTTCAGCTATTGTTGCAGCATTATATGGATGCTACCCTTAACATTAACTTTTTAATGAAGACTGCAATTCTGTTTTGGTATCTTTTGAAATAATTTGTTGCCTTGGTACTAATATTAAATTGACATCTATTTTCTGGAATCTATCTATATAAAAGCCTAAGCAATTGAAAGACCGGTCGACCAGTCGCTATAATGTGCACTGACCACCAGGGGATGCCCCCTGGTGGTCAGTGTGCTCCCACAGTGGGAGCGCTGCTCAGCTGACCAACAGGTGCCAGATACAGGGCTCACGGCTGGCTGCTGCTGCCCAGAGACCCGCAGCGTAGCTGCAATGAGCCTACCAAGCGGTGCAGCAGCAGGCGCAGCCGGGTTGGGATGAGCAGGAGCAGCAGGCCGGAGTGGCAGGCGGTGTTGGACTGCCAGTTTCGGCCCGATCCCCACAGGCTATGCTGAGGGACCCCACCAGTGCACAAATCCGTGCATCAGGCCTCTAGTGTATAAATAATAATTTTCTGGAAAGCCAGAAGAGGGTTATTGGCACATTTCTCTTACCCCAAGTGCTGGAGTCAAAAATACTTATGGCACTGCTGGATTTTTTATGGAAACAAGGAGCTTGAGAGTCTGCTTTTCATTAAAATTACCATAGAATGGAATGAGCAAAACATTAGCCTGGAGCTTGGAGTTTATCCTGAGTGCACTAGAGCAGCAGTTGCCAACTAGTGGTCTGCGGACCACTGGTGGTCTGTGAGGTCTGAAAGGTTGGCGATAGCTGCACTGGAGCACAGGTTTTAGATGTGGGTATGATGAGGTTAGAAGCCTCTGTCTTGGTTGTGGATGGAAAGATAATGGAAATAAGAAAAAAAGGGAGGTCTTCACCATGGTCCTGGGGAGAACTCTTTCTTTCATGGATTTATTCTTCCATTCCACAAATAGAAATTGTATGCCAGATAGTCTACATATATTGATTCATTTAATCTGCATAAACCCTATGAGTTAGTCACTATTATTACGAGCATTTTACAGATGAGAGCATTGAAGGCCAGGAAGAAACATGCTCAAGGTCAAAGGGATAGTAAGTGACAGAGAGTAGACAGTGCAATGGATGGAAGGTGGGTTATGCCTGGTGTGTTTGAGGAAGAGCAAGAAGGCCAGGATGCCTTAAGTAATGAGGTAAGTGGTGGATAGGAGGTGAGGAAGTAATTCACAGCTTTGACCTTAATAGTGAGGCATTTCTCAAAAGCTATATTGTAGGCTCAAGCAGAACCAAGATTGGAACTGAAGTCCTGCTCTGCACAGGTCACCTGGAGCCAGTTTACTACAGGTATCTGTAATTTTATTATTAAGATTGACTGCCTCCTGCATGCCCCCTACTGGGGATTGAGTCCGCAACCTGGGCATGTGCTGTTGACCAGAATCCAACCAGGGACCCTTCACTCTGCAGGCTGATGCTCTATCCACTGACCCAAACCGGCTAGGGCAAGTACCCATTGTTTTTTGATTGAAGGTCTAGGAAGTTAATGACAGAGGCTGAGATGAATGATGATGAATTCTTCAAGGTGACTTATGGGGATTTTATTTTATTTTTTAATATATGTTTTATTGATTTCTGAGAGGAAGGGAGAGGGAGAGATAGAAACATCAGTGATGAGAGAGAATCATTGATTGGCTGCCTCCTGCACACCCCACACTGAGGATCGAACCCACAACCTAGGCATATCCCTTGGCTGGAATCAAACCCGGGACTCTTCAGTCCGCAGGCCAGCGCTCTATCCACTGAGCCAAACCAGCTAGGGAAGTTATGGGGATTTTAAAGAGTGGGTGATGGGGCATCTGTAGGGTGAGTGATGAAAGGCCAATAGGGTAAATGATAGAGGTCTGTGTGATACATGATGGGGGGTCTATAGGGTGAGTCATGGGGTTGTTTGGTACATAATGGGAGGTCTTTTGGGGCAAGTGATAGGTCCATGGTTTGATAGAGGTCTGTGAGTGATAGAGGTCAGTCTATAGGGCAAATGAGAGGCTGTTGTTGGGAGGGTGATAAGTGTCTTAAGGGTTAATGATGGGGTATATAGGGTAAGTGATGGGAGGGTCTGTGGGGGTGAGTTTTGTGGGGTCATGGGTAAATGATGGGGATCTTTAGAGCAGTGATGGGTGAGTCTGTGGGGTCAGTGATGGGGTTTTTGGAGTACCTGGGGAGTCTGTGAGTTGAGTGATGGGGTATGTGTGGGGTGCTTAATAAGGAGACAAGCGGCTGAGTAAATTGAAGAACTTGAAGATTTGGAAAATTCTCAGCTTGTCCCTATTGCAAAAAATGAGCAAGTGTGTTCTGGAGAGAACACCAAGGATTCGGGTAGAAGATCACTCCTTAAAAGAGATTGCAGGTGTGTGACTCATGAATCTACTCAGCCATCAGGGGACTTTCTGGAGTTAGTGATGGGGGATTGTGAAGTCTACATGATTGTCTATGTGATGGGGATGGGAATCTATGGCTGAGATAATGGTGGTCTGTGAAATGAGTGAGTGACAGAGGTGTCTTTGGGGTTAGTAATTAAAGATCTTTCAATGTTAGGGTCAAGACCTTTTATTTCCTTGTTTTAAAAATTACCAACACTGCGGACCCTGTAGGTTCTCTTGGACTTTTGTCCCAACAGCTCCTTGCAATAGCTCCACACAGCTCCTTTCTTCCCCATTGCTGGCCCTTTTGGTGCCCACCCATCAGCCTGTTTGACAGATCAATTCACTTTGTCCTTTCAACCTGTGGGAACAAGGAACAGACTCTTCTGGCAGATGGAGAGTTCGTCATCAGTCCATGTTAAAGCCCAGTCCATCACTCATTATTTCTGCTTGCTCTTGATTTTTGTGACTTTGGCATCCAGCAGGCTCTGGGCGTGGGTGATCTGCTTCACAGAATCGAGCACAAGGATTCCAGGCACCACCATCCACAGGGCATTCAGGAAGACAAAGTAAAACCAGAAGTAGAGCGGGTGGCCCAGCTCCCCGTGCTTGAATCCATCACGGTACTCTGTCAGGAAGTAGAGCACATCCCCGTACATCTGACCTGTGGGAGGTGGAAGGGAAATGTGAGGAGGAGGAGCTATTACAATGCATTTTTCAAGTCATTATTTGAGGTCTCAGTCCTTAGAATTCCCAAACTCAGAGGTTAAAATTCTGAAATCATATAGCTAAAAAGTTAAAAAATCAGAAAAGTGGGAATTCCAGAAATTGGAAGCTGATAATTTCAAAACCCAGGAGAGCTCATATCTCCAGAATTTAAGGAAGCTCAAAATCCTTTCATTCAAGACAGCTGAGGATTCCAGAACTAAAGATAACCCAGATTTCTAGAACTAAAGAAAGCTAACAATGTAAGAACACTGAACCTTAGATGAAAGAGCCTGGAAATCCCAAGCCTAGAGGACCCAAGGACTTCCTGCCAGCATGGGCCACCTCATGTAACCTTCACAGGAGACTGTTATTTAAAAAATGTATTTGTATTGATTTCAGAGAGGAAGGGAGAGGGAGAGAGAGACAGAAGCATCAATGATGAGAGAGAATCATTGATCGGCTGCCTCCTGCACGACCCACACTAGCGGTCAAGCCCACAACCCGGGTATGTGCCCTGACCAGGAATCAAACCATGACCTCCTTCCCAGGAGACTTTGTGATGGAGGAGGAAGAGAAATGAACACTTCCCACTTGAGAACACAGGCTGAGAGGGGCATAGCTGTTCTAGAACTTCAGGGAATTTATCATTCAATCTGACTCAGCCCTGGGTGGGCACAATTGAGAGATCCTACCCACACGGATGCCCCCATATCTGCGCATCCCTGATAATCCCTCCAGCATCAGCGTGGGCCCTCTTCTCACCCACAGAGACCACGAGCTGTAGGACAAAGCGGACAGGATGCTGGCGGAGAAAGGCAACCACCACCCAAATGCTGAGTGGTCCCCACAGGAAAGCCGTGACAGTCTCCATGCATATCATGAAGTTGTCATTCCTGCAGGAGAAAGGATGAGGTGACACTGGCATCACTGTGCTTTAAGCTCAGGGAACCCCATTTGTGCTCCCTGACTCACCACCACCCCAAACCAATTCATGTCTCCCTTGACAGAGACAAACAC